CGCGTGGATCTTCAAGTTGGGGAGATCCCTTCCAGAGACTCAAAGTCAAATCAGATCCAGAGCTCGCAGGACTGGATGAGCTGGAGCTGGGCGGGGCCAGCCGTAGCCCCGCCCCAAGCGTACGGAAGTGACGTTAGCGGACAAAGGCAACGCGCGCTGGGAGGTGTGGCGTCTGGTCGTGGTTCAGGCCGCTTGGGCTCTTGGGGTCGCCGCCGTCGCCGCTGCCGCCACCTTCGCCCTCCCCCACTTCCTCTTCCCTGGCCTCTTCTCCTGGGTCCCGGGAGTCCCTGCCCGGGGTGAGTAGAGAGAGGCGATGCTAAGGGGAGGCAGCCCCGGGAGAAGGGAGGCCGCGACCCCCAACTGCCTCCGGCTTGTCACATGACCCAGGCGCGTGCGCGCATGCTGGCCGGGGCCCCACGTGCGCTTCTCCAAAAGGTCCACCGGCGGGACCTGAGCAGGGACAACGGAGTTCCGTGGCTGGAGGTAGCGGAGAAAAGCCAAGACACCTAAAGCCTGGGTGGAGCATTCCCCTACACCTGTTTGTAGCAAGTCCCTTTCTCTCCCTGAGCTTCATTTCCCTTCTGAGAAATATATATGTATATATATAAGGAGAGCACCCACTCGGAGGTTGGGTATGAGGAATCAGTATAATGCACAGCTCAGAGCCTGGCATAGTTAAAGTCTGTGGCATAGCAGTCGGTATCGTATTTTACCAGTGCTCCCCGCCCCAGCTCTGGCCTGACACAGATGCAGTTCACAAGACAGCCGTCGCCAAGAGCTCTTGGGGCCAAGGTCAGCCTGTTTGCAAGGAGGCAGCCATATCGAAAAGCCTAGGCTTTGCAGTCCACCAACTGTGAGATCTTTTCTGGACCTTGATTCTTCGTCTGTGCAAGAGGGGACTGAAACTGGTGGCATCCGAGGCCCCAAAGGTGGGGTGGGACTCTGTAGCAGATGGTTGTGATGTGTAGAATGATTACCCAGGGAGATGAGATGATCCCCTGGGAGGAACAAGGCCTGGGATTAAGAGCCTGAATTCCTTCCTGAATTCTGTTCCTGGTTTCATGTATTCGTTTTCACACACTTACTTTGGTGTGTTGGTTCTTCTGTCTGTAGACTGGGGGCTGTGGGAGGATTGGAGGTACAGATGGGAATGTTTTGGTGGAGGTCAGAGCTACAGACTCAAAAGGAGAGCCTCCCAGAAATCCCTGCTTTGGTTCAGTGCTTACATGGAGGGAAAGCTCACTCCCCAGCCCTGCTGATTTGCAGAGCTCTTTGAGTCTGTTGGATACCAGTAATGATCCCTTCGGTGGGTCTGACACTCTACACGTCATGTGGCATTTCAGTGCATTTTTCTCACTTGATCTTCACAATTGGCAAAGTTGACAGGAATTTCCTTTGACAGAAATTTCTAAAGCTCAAGAGAGAATCTGTGCCTGGCACTGTGTGGAGCACTGGAAGCTTTTCATGTGCACATTTAATCAGCTCAGGCTTTCTGTACAGCCAATGTCACTGTTCCCATTGTAAGAGAAACAGGATGGTGAGGTTAAATGTCTCATCTGAGCCTACGCTGCTGGTGAGCAGGGCTGAGATTCACACCTAGTTCATCTCACTCCCCCAAAGCCTTTGTTAGTTTTAGAGTTTTTCACTACCTTTTTTTTTTTTTTTTTTTTTGGTCTTATCTCCCACTCTGCAATTTATTTATTTTTGTTGTTGAGACTGAGTCTCACCCTGTTGCCCTGAGCAGTGTGCAGTGGCAACATAGCTCATTGCAACCTCAGACTCTGGGCTGTGGGGACCCCACTGGAATTACAAGTGCTTGCAGCAGCGCCCAGTTGGGCTTTTCTTTTCTTTTTCTTTTTTGAGACAGTCTCAAGCTGTAGCCCTGGTAGAGTGCGGTGGCATCATAGCTCACAGCAACTTCAAATTCTTGGGCTTAAGTGATTCTCTTGCCTCAGCTTCTCGAGTAGCTTGGACGACAGGCGCCTACCACAAGGCCTGGCTGTTTTTTGGTTGTAGTTGTCTTTGTTGTTTGGTGGGCTAGGCTAGATTCGAACCCACCAGCTGCAGTGTATGAGGCTGGTGCCCTAATCACTTGAGCTACAGGTGCGGAGCCAGTTTTTTCTTTTTTTAATTAGTCAGGGTCTCACTCTTGCTCAGGCAAGTCTTGAACTCCTGAGTTCAAGGAATTCTCCCTTCTCAGCCTCCCATAGTGCTGGGATTACATGTGTGAAGCACCATGTGCCTGGTGTCCCTTTTCTTTTTTTTTTTTTTTTTTTGAGACAGAGCCTCAAGCTGTCCCCCTGGGTAGAGTGCCATGGCTTTACTGCTCACAGCAACCTCCAACTCCTGGGCTCAAGCGAGTCTCCTGCCTTAGCCTCCCAAGTAGCTGGGACCACAGGCACCTGCCACAGTGCCTGGCTATTTTTTGTTGTTGTCCATCTTGTTGTTTGGCGGGCCTGGGCTGGATTCGAACCCACCACCTTAGGTGTATGTGGCTGGCGCCTTAGCCGCTTGAGCCACAGGTGCCAAGCCATCCCTTTCTTTTTTATAGAGCACCCCACCATTGTCATGTGTTCACTTGCAGTCCAGATAGATACAGGGAGAATGGGCAGGCTGTGAGAAGGAGGAGGTAAAGGAAACTTTAAGCAGGCTTTTGCCTCCTGTTGCTTTCAGACGGTTTCTTAGAGACTTACATGAGGAGGATGACATGAGTCTGCAAATGTCAGTAAGTTCAGGCACAATTCTCTGCCATGGATCCTGGGAGAAGGGAAGTAGTGGCGGGGGCAGCTGCCTGGTTGTTGCTGTAAACAACATCCCCTTGGAGGGGGAAGAAGACGCTAGGTGACTGAAAGGTGCAGGATTGCATTCTATCAGCTGAGCAGACAATTTACTATGAGCAAGGGGTTTCGTCTTTGAGCCAGCCCAGTGTGTACACAAAGCCAAGCCATACCCCTCAACCCTTCCCAGTTCCCATAGCCAGGTAGCTCCTCAGTGCTCTGGATCAGAGTATAGGAGCACATCCTGCCATGTGCTGTTCCTTCTGATTCCTAGCAACTCCCTGCCCCACTCCATTCTGGACACTGGGAGGAAAAGCATAGACAGGGTCCCACGAATCATGCTTATTAAAGAGTCAGCTGTTAGGGCTAATGTCAGCTATGCTTGCTGTTTCCCGATCTAGCTGTGCCTCCCTAGGCTTGTTCCTAGAATCTGCATGTAAGTGGAATTCTTGTAAATTAGATAATTCAGGGGACCTTGACATTTAAAAGAATCAAGTTGTAAGGCTTTTAGAAAAGTAAAAAATTACATCATCAGTAATAGCTGTCAGTGTTACCAGTTTTGAGTGGTTGGACTTTTCATCTGTAGGATTTTCTTAAAAATGGGAATGCCAACTGTGCAAAGTGGCTCATACCTGTAATCCTAGCACTCTGGGCGGGGGAGGGGGGGCGAGGCAGGTAGATTGACGGAGCTCAGGAATTCAAGACCAGCCTGAGCAAGTCTGAGACCAGCCCCATCTCTACTAAAAATTAAAAAAAAAAAAATAGTCATCATGGAGGGCACCTGAAGTCCCAGCTGCTCAGGAGGCTGAGGCAGGAGGATTGTTTGAGCCCAAGAGTCTGAGGTTGCTGTGAGCTATGACATGATGGCACTCAACCCCAGGGCGACAGTGAGATTTGGTCTCAAAAAGAAAAAAATGGCAATGGCTATAGCTGCACAAAGCCCTTTCCTTTATTGGTTTGACAACCAATTAGTATTAAATGCCCACCTCGTTTCAGGAAGTGGGCTACTGGTGTACAAGGTAATGTCCCTGTCCCCTGGGATGCTTGCCTCTTTGGAGGGGAGGCAGATAGATAGGCAGAGAAAGTACAGCCTGGTAAGTGTTGGGGTCCAAATTTATTTTATTCATTTGATTGGAAGTGAACATCGTTGAATACCTGCGTGTCGCGTGGGATGCAAGAGAAATTCAGTGATAAATCTTGGATGTTGCCCTTGCTCTCGAAGGAGCTCCCAGTCCTGTGGGGAGATCAATTTGAGTACAGAACCTTCAGTTTCCCAATACCAGTGGGTGGTTAGAGAGAGGGGTTAGTGAAACTGGGAGTTAAGTGATTTTGATGTTCTCCCCGGCTTGATGGATGGAGGAGCTGTGACATGGTAGTCATGGTACCTGTGGGCCTGGGTCCTTAACCCCATCAGACCCCACAATGTAAGTAGCTACGTGACATTCCGCTAGTGGTCCCTTTCCTGTCAGCTGTCAAGGTGCACCCTGGCATAGTCAGCAGTCTTAGAGCTGTGCCTGTGCGCGGGAAGCCTCAGTTGACGAGTGCCAGTTAATTCCTCAGGGAAGGGATGTGACCTTGTGCGTCTCCCTGACATTATGTGGATAAATAGGCTGGCTCCATGTGGTGTGTGGGGCCAAGCTGTCATCCCTCTCCTGAGGGGTGTGGTGGGCCTTTGCTCTGCTGCCTGGGCCCATCCATGCTGTTGTTCCCTCTCCCTCTGTCCTGGCAACAGTGTCCTTATCTGTGTCTGCTTTTGCTTCGGGTCCCTGCTGTTTACACAGTTGCCAGAGGTCTTCAGAAGCACAGATCTTCTGTGCCGCTCCCTATGTCTTAGGTGGTTCAAGGTCCATTGTTCTTCAGGGTCAAGTCCAGACCACTAAAGTGGACCCATAGGACCTTAGGTTTCTAGTCTCAAGGGCTCTGTGCATCCTTTTCTTCCAGGAGCATATTCTTGTCTCCTGCCAGCTCTTGCCCCTCTGTTTCACTTTTTTTTTTTTTTTGAGATCTTACTACATCGGCCTCAGTAGACTGCCATGGTGTCATAGCTCACAGCAACCTCTAACTATTGGGCTTAGGCAATTCTCTTGCTTCACTCCCAAGTTGGGACTATAGGCGCCTGCTGCAATGCTTGGCTATTTTTGTTGTTGTTGTTGTTGCAGTTGTTATTGTAATTTAGCAGGCCCCGGCTAGGTTCAAACCCACCAGCCCTGGTGTATGTGGCTAGCGCCCTAACCACTGAGCTATAGGTGCGGAGCCTTCTGTATCATTTCTTGAGGGATGCTTTCCCTGATCCCCACTGAGTCGGCTCCCTCAAGTGGGTACCCTTTCTAGCATTTCACTCTTCTTCTCTGTCCCCCGCAGTTGTGGTTATGTGGTCTGTATAGTTGTTTTCCGCCTGGCTGTGTTCCCAGTTCACAGCAGAGTGCCTGGCAGTATCCCTGTTCTTTGTTAAGGAAGGACTATACCCAACATGAGTTGTGTCTGTGCTGAGTGAAAGGCAGCAGGTGTGTACTCCTTAGGGACTCCCCGAGTCTGCTGTCACACCTGCTCTCTAGTGTGGATCGGGATTGTCTGTCTGCTGGGCCAGAGGTCAGAGTCAGGTGTCATGTAGCGCATGTCAAGAACTCATAGCCAGGAACCCAGGGCTCCTGCTTTGTGCCGTCATCCAGAGGGGAGAGGCAGATTTGGGGATAATGTACATTCCTCTGCGCTGGGCAGGACTGTGCATCTTTTGAAACCTGGCATGAGACTGGCCCTCTGCCTGCAGGGCCTTTCTGCAGTCCTTGACTGGGCTGACTTACTCCTCTTTTCCTTACTCAGGAGGTACCATTGCTGATCGTGGTGCTTGAGTGGAGTGTTGGTTGGTGACGGCATGACAAGTGAGGTGATAGAAGATGAGAAACAATTCTATTCAAAGGCCAAGATGTACTGGAAGCAAATCCCACCCACAGTGGACGGCATGCTTGGGGGGTATGGCCACATCTCCAGCATCGACATCAACAGCTCCCGGAAGTTTCTGCAGAGGTTTTTGAGGGTAGGCAGGTCTGGTGTTACTGTCCAGGAGAGGCTGTGACTCTGGTGTCACCTTTCACACGTAACACTGCTACAGTCTGGTTATCTGTTGGTACCTACCCGAAGGCCTTAAGGAGTTGGGCCAGTGGGGTGACTTCGGGTCTGTGGACTTAGCCGCAGGGTTATCAGATGGAGGTTGGCTGTTATGGCAGAATTGAAGTGCCAAAATGGGGCAGGCTTCTCTCAAAATGTTCAGTTTCACTGGGGATGAAACCCTTGCCATGCTGCCATGTCCGTGGGTCTTGGCTATTCTGCCAGGTGCAGACTCCTAATTCCTATGGTTTCCACCACACCTCTTCCCCCACCCCCTGCCTTGTACCAGGCTGGGGCCCCATCGGGCCTACCCTTTTTCATCTCCCTTGGCCAGCACAGATGCTGCTGCTTGCCCCCTCCACCCAGTATCTCCCCCCTACCTGCTTTCCATCTCCCGGCCCTGTTCACCAGTTGTCCGTCCACTTTTCTGTCCAGATTCATCTCTGCTATTGTTTCCCTGGGATCTCAGGAGTGAGAAATTAATGCGCCTGTTCAAGCTATCACCTTGAAATAGACATGATGGCTGTCAGTTTAGAAATGTGTGGCCCGGAAAAGGAATGTCCCATGTACCACCACCACCACCACCCCCGCCCCTGCTCTCCCCCCAAACAGCCTCCCCAGCACTGCTGGCCACCAGCTTGTACTGAGTCCTGATTTGAGTCTCGTTCCCAGGGTTCATGAGGAAGCGGACCTTTGATAGGTCATATTCCTTCTCTGCTTTTAGGAAGGCCCGAACAAGACCGGAACTTCCTGTGCCCTGGACTGTGGCGCTGGCATTGGCAGGATCACCAAGCGGCTGCTCTTACCGCTGTTCAGGGTGGTGGATATGGTTGATGTGACAGAGGACTTTCTGATTAAAGCCAAGACCTACCTGGGGGAGGAAGGCAAGAGGGTGAGGAACTACTTCTGTTGTGGTCTCCAGGACTTCAGCCCAGAGCCGGACTCTTACGACGTGATCTGGATCCAGTGGGTGATAGGTGAGGGTCCTACTGTCCTTCCCCACCCACTTGTGTGTCTCCTGCCACTTGAACTACCCACATGGTCTTGGGAGCTGGGGCATTGTGCTCTTGCAGTAGGCAGGTGGCAAGGATTCCCATTCTCCCTGTGTATTCTAGGACTCTGGGAGAGACTATGCCTAAAAGGTACATGTCCTCGGGCAGCACCTGTGGCTCAAAGTAGTAGGGTGCCAGCCCCATATACCGGAGGTGGTGGATTCAAACCCAGCCCCAGCCAAAAAAAAAAAAAATTGCAAAAAAACCCCTAAATGTCCTTCTGGGTTTTGTTTCAACTATCTGCTGCTATCCATTTGGGGCAGTTTTCTGTCAAATTTTTAAATGGCCCATAACTTAACTGTATTCAAAGAAAATAAGTTGTATGAGGGTTTCTTTAAAAAAAGTTAAAAATTTAACCCTTGGCTGCCCCTGCTGTTTGCAGGAAGTAATCCCTGCTTTGATACCCTGCCCTGTGTCCACTCAGCCTAATGGCACACCTGGAATGTTGCACCCTGGTGGCAGGCCACTGCACTAGTCAGCCACCTCCTGCAAGGTGGGCAGCAGCACACCTCTGCTGTGGACATTCTGGGTCTGGCCCTGTATTTTCTGGTCCCAAGAATCCTTTGGACTGTGAATGTAGGGAAGGAAATCTGGGACCGCCTGCAGTCCAAACACCTGATACCATGTGCACTCCCCTAATCTAGGCCTGGGGGGTGGCAGTGTGTAGGTATTGGGTAGGGTCAGCTTTGTGCTTAGTGTGCCTTTGGGTAGGTAACTTCTGAGCTAGTTTCCTCTTAAATGTTAGCAAACCCCTCAAGTCTATTGAGAGCCAGCAAGGCCGTGTGCGCACCAGATGTGGGGCACAAAGGAAGGGCTCAGCCATGGCTGAAAACCGTCTCCCATCCAGTGGCTTGCTTGTGTTTGCATCTTTCCCCTGGTAACCTTGCCTCTGCCCTTCCCAGGCCACCTAACTGATCAGCACTTGGCTGAGTTCCTCCGGCGCTGTAAGGGGGGACTCCGCCCCAATGGCATCATCGTCATCAAAGACAACATGGCCCAGGAGGGCGTGATCCTAGATGATGTGGACAGCAGCGTGTGCCGGGACCTCGAAGTGGTCCGTAGGATCATCCACAGCGCAGGCCTCAGCCTCTTGGCCGAGGAGAGGCAGGAGAACCTCCCTGAGGAGATCTACCATGTCTACAGCTTTGCCCTGAGATGAACTGGGCTGGCAGGAGAAACTGAGGACCCACGGCCCTGGTGGGGGTTGCTAGCAGTTGCTTGAGATGCAGGCTCTACACTGATGGCTGTAGAGTGTTGAGGCTGCTAAATATACCTGTCTGCCATCCACTCACTATACAGACTCTTCTTATAAAGGCAGGTGGGGCCCGTGGGAGGGGCGCTCCCGAATCTGCAGGGAGGCTGGAGCCTGGCCTCCCTGCACTTAGAGGTGGGGACTAGGTGGTAGGGGCTGGGGGCCAACAAGCCCATGGGGCTCCCTATGCTCCCTCATGGGAACGTAGTCATCACACCAGAAGCTGTTCCGCGGTCAGTTGGAAGTCTTGCCTTCGACCTGGCTGCCTTAAGAGGAAGGGGATGAGCCTTAACTTAGTGGCTGAGGACTTGAAGAAATACGGTCTTCACTTGGGGGAGGAACAGAGCTGGGCTTGTGAAACTTCTGAGCATCTGTCCAGTTGCTGCTTGTGGGTGTGCTTACGCGCCCAGTCCTCTTTGATTACAAAGAGGGTCTTAGTGGCCTTAAAGTGATGGTCGTAACAGCAAGGGGAGGTCTGTGGCCTCTCTTCACTGAGCTTGGGGCCCCTTCTTGGTGGGCATTTTCATTCAGAAATAAAAGGGGTAAGCCCTTCTACTATGAAGGTCCAGCCAGTCTGGAGTGGTGCTTCTTTATGGGGACAAGTGTCACACACCCTCTCCCTCCCAAAGGCTGCACCTGCTTCTGTCTACTGTGTTCCTTATTGGCTGCTATGATCCTTTATCCTGAACTGAGGAGAGGGACAGAATCATACAAGGACATGGAAAAGTCAAGAGAATTGGTTCCATTTTATGATATAAATATATCATTTAGTTACCTTAAGCTTCATCCCAAAGGCATTAACACAATCCACAATGGTCAGTGTGACTTGGACAGAGTTTACAAGCCCTCCACACTGAGCAGTGTGGTCAGCTGTCTTGATGGTGTGCTATCAGGTGAGCCCCTCACAAAGACAATTCTGAAAGGGCTGTCCCTGCTGTGCACGCATGATTGCTTTTTAGCAGAAGGCATGGTCCCCAAGGCCTTGGGCTTGGTGCGTGTATAGCTGCCACTAGAGCACAGCCCTGGTAGGCAGGGCCATAGGTGACCCAGCTACTGAGCTCTAGAAGGTAGCAGGGGTCAGCTCAGCTTTCAACACAAGGAGATGGGCCATGGAGGCCCTTAGTGCCTTCTCCCCCAGTTCACCAAAAGCACTTGTGACAATCTGGAGTGAAAAGAGGCAGGAATAGGACCTGGCTAGGTGGCACCCACAGGACATACCCTGGCTTCCTTCTGGCTCCCGCTGAGCCTCTGTGCAGGACCGCAGATTGCTGCAGCTCTTGGGGATGCTCAGACTCGGCACTTTGGGTATAACTGGTCCGAAATCTAAACACTGTCCCTTTTTCCAATGTGGTTTGAGATTTTGGGGATACTGCCAGAGGGAAGAGGGGCAGTCTCCCTGGAAGACAGAGCTGCACCTTTTACCACGGGAGGATTACAGCTCGGGCTCTACCTGGTAGGCTCACTAAGGGTACAGCTCATTGCTTACATCAAAAGACGCTCCCACAAAACTGTCACAGGTACTCAAATCCATCACAGGTTGACTGATGCTGCCTAGACCCTCATTCCTTTTAGTCACGCCCTGTTAGATGTCATCCTTGAGGGTGCCGCTGTGCTCACTGAGAAGGTACCACTTCAGCCTGTCAGGCAGAGGCAGAGCTTTGACCTTCACGTCCACAGGCCATGGCTGAAGGTAGAGGCGGATAGAGACACGGCACAGGTGCTTGAGGGGTGGGGGATAGCTTTCCAGCTGCCTCAAGGAGAAGTAGAGGGCCTGGATCTTTTCTGCCAGGCTTCCCACAGGATGGATATTGAAGTTTTCAGGCAGCTGGAGTTTCTGGGAGTTGGTCACCATGAGATCCAGCACAGTCTCGGCTTTGCGCAGGAGGTCCACGTGGCTCTCATCTTCAGCACAGCCTGGATGAGAACAGAGCCTCTCAAAGATGATATGAAAGCCAGACCAGCAGGACGCACCATGGAGGGAACAGTTGTAGGCAGCGCCAGACTCCAGGAGGAAGCGCAGGAGAGGGAAATGCAGCTTAAAGTTCTTGAGGCAAATATGGGTGAGGGATTCATGGGCTGGGCATTCACTGGGATCTGCCCCATGAGCCAGCAGCAACTGTGTTACTTGGAAACAGAAGCGGTTGATCATTTCGGCTTCCTCTTTATCCCCTCCCACGGTCTCACCAAGCAAGAAGATGATGCAGGTGAACACAGTGTCCCCATCTTTGGTGGTAGCCTTGACATCTGCCCCTAGAAGAGCCATCAGAACAACAGAAGGGCTTCAACCTTGGCAAACAAATCTACACATTTTGAGGAGTTGGGGAGAGCCCACAGAAAGTGACCTGCAGTGTGAAAGGGCGAGTCTAGGGAACATAGGACAAGCCTCACCTCCTTCCAGTAAGAGCCGGATGTTCTCAGTGTTGTGGATCTGCACTCCATCACTGCTAGCCAAAGCATGGAGCAGGGCAGTCTTTCCTAGTGAGGGAGGGAGGCGGTGTGAGGGTGGCCAGGAGCCAGGGCAGGGTACCCCAGAGACAGGTGGAGATCTCAGTGCTCAGGATCAGAAAATGGGACTTCAAAAGGACTGAACTCTCAGCTGGGGTGAGGGCTGACAGTGACTGGCTTCTGGCCATTCTCCTTCCACCACTAAAAAACCTGGAGTGGAAGGTCCTGAGGTGCTACTTGGGACCCAGGCTGGGCCTCCCAACAGGAAGCCATTGTTTCCTTGGAAGCTGAGCACACACATACCCTTTCCTGTTTCCTCCTGCAGACAACCCTTGAAGGCCAGCCTGGGGACATAACTGCACAGCCTCAACCCTCTGCGCTCAGCAAGTCAGCAAAATCCACCTGTGCCATCACATAGGGCCAGTATTCAGCCTGCCTTAACTGGCATCCTGGAGTACCCTGGGTGTCCTTTAAGGTGCCCAGGGTTCAGGCTATCCGGGAGGCACCCACCGTGTTTGTCAGCTGCATTAACATCAGCTCCAAGGTCCAGGAGGCGCTGCAGGCAGGGCAGGCGCTCCGGCTCTTCACTGGCCAAGTCCAAGGGGCTGCTCTCATGAATCTGAGCCAAGACAGCATGAGCCAGGTTGGCCTGGGGGCATGCGGTGGGGCTCTGAGGCTGCTGGGCTCCCACACATTCCCCTTCATGGCACACAGGACCTGGTACTTACGCGGTCCCTCCGATTGATGTCAGCCCCATGCTGCACCAGCAGCTCCACTATGTCCGGCTGGTTCCGCAGGACAGCGATGTGTAAAGCTGTGTAGTAGGTGACAGGGTCTGGGGGAACAGACACAGCTCATGTTAGTCTTGCATTCTCACAGCATGTCCCAGCCTGGCCTTGGGGGCCAGCCCCAGCTCACACCTTAAGTGTCAAGATGGAGGCCCAGGCTCCTGTCACCAATGGGGTCAGGACAGACTGTTCTCACCAGATGTTTAGAGGGTCCTGGCAGCCTTCTGGTAGGCCTAAAACACAACCAGTCTGCACTTGGTTTCCTCTTTGTAAAAGGGGGCCATAAAAAGGGGCATCTCTTCCAGATTGTTGGGACACTCCAGGTAGGAGCTCTGGCTGCTCTGTTCCTTGAACCTGGACTGACAGCTAGAATTCAGAATGGGCTCCCTCAACTCCTTGAGCCTGCAGGAGCTCAGCAGCCTCTGAGTCCATCCTCAGGTGGGGAGCAGGGCAGGCCTGGCTGTATCATGGGTCAGTACAGGTCCCCCCTTTGGACACCAGACAGCCTGCCTGTCTCCTCACTAACCCTGCCCTCCACTGGTGAGAGCTACAGAGGAAAGGACAACAGCACAGTCAAATCCAGAAGCCAACATGGTCCTTATGTGACTTACACCTAATGTGGCCTTTCTGTTTTCTCCTTTCCCTATGGCATTAGCAAAAACACATATTGGCTAAGAGTAAGTTGCAGAAAATTACCTTCCCTTAGCTCTAGGCACAGTGCCAGCAGCTGCAGTTTCACATTAATGGAAGTGAGGATTAATCTGGGAGCTAGGGAAAGTTTGCTAAATCAATCACATAGTAGAGCCAGCAACACACAGCTCTTGGAACAGAGGAGGTAAGAGCCCTCTGCAAGCCCACAGTGGGATGGGAGACCACCTCCTCCACTGATGAGAGCCAGAGAGGAAAGGAGGTTGCCACCAGGAAAGAAATGAGGGAAGTCACTCCTAAGGGATAAAAGAAAGGGTGGAAGGCCTGCCCACTCCCAGTCCTGGGCTCCAGCTGACCTTCAAAGTTGAGATTAGCCCCATTCCGCAGAAGAACATCTGCTGCGCGTGTCAGGCCCAGCTCAGCCATCTTGAGCAGGGCGTTGCTCACACCTTCCTGGTAAAAGGGAGAGTGGGCCTTCCTTTCCAACAGCTCTGTGAGGACGAAGAGCCGGCTCTCCTCACTGGCAATATAACTGGGCCTGGAGCAGAAGAGAGGCAGACCAGTGAGGGTGGGCACAGCTGTAGAAACAGCTGACCCAGGCACCCTGGTGGGGGGCAGCCTTTACTGTCGTGCTCTAGTCAGGGCCCTGACTCTGGGGCAGAAACTCTCTCTTAGGAGAAGGTCGGAAGTGGAGAGAGGGCCAAGCCAGACCTTCATCCTGGAGTAGACTCTTGGGTTTGCTGAGAAAGGACTGGGTCTGTCTGCAGTCTTCTCCCTAGTTGCCCAAAGAGCCTGGTCCCTAGCTTTGTTAGTATGAAAGGGAACCCTCAAGGCCAGGAGCCAGAACCAGACTCTGACACTCCTTTAGCCTTTCAGACTAAATACCCCAACTCTCCCTGAGCTGCAGGATGCCAGAACAGTCAGCAGATCCTCCTCGCTCCCCTCTCACACAGATCTTCAGCCTCACTCCCAGCCCAAGAATGAGTACACACAAGGAACCTCACATCATATCGCCAACCCACCTGGTCCCCAGACTCCCCCTCTGACTTCCCTGGCCAGCACTAACTACTAAGAGCTGCTGTGGCTTTCTCCAAAAGCTCAGACCCAGGCTCTGCTCCATGCCCTTGAACACATATGACAGCGTTCCACCTCCACCTCTTGGTGAGGTTTCCCTTCTCCACTGGTGCTCCCCACCCATCTCTCAGTCTCACCCATCTGTGTCCCTTCAGTTGGCTGTTTGGGCAAGATTCCATCTCATCTCTCTGGAACCCAGAGCACCAAAGATGCAAAGCAAACACCTGGGACAGTTTCTGTATGATCTCTGGGGCTCACCACAACGGCCATGCAGCTGCTCTTTGCTGACCTACTCTCTCTCTGCACAGCCTTAGTTAAGGAAATGTCTTGCACCGCCTTTTCAGAGTAAGCCTCAAAGCGAACACAGCAGAGATAGTGATGAGGAACGTCTAGGTTTAACCACCAAGGTCCCTGAGACTCCTAATAACTACATATTTGAAATTCCAACTGATAACTCCCCCACCTTCAGCTGAGCCCCTTTCCCCCCACTCCAGCTCTTGTCTCTATTACACCTGATGTACTCAGTACTGATCAGAGCGTCAGTCTCTTTGGAGCATAAGTGCCATGAAAGGTGGGCGTATGCTTGGCCCCCTGATGTGCTCCAAGTATTGCACGCTCAGTACAACAAGCAGCGAATATGGACTACTTTCCAACACCTATCCACAGGTTCAGGACAGACCTGCTTGTGCCTACACAAATGTACACCCAGCTACAAAAAAGCTTGTTTCCACACCACTCTGGGGTAAAAACTGAGGCCTTCACAGATTCTGCCCTGCTGCGCAACTCCGGGGGCGGGGGAGTGTAGGGCAATAAGACGGACAGGGCACAGGGTGGGCCCCTGAGGCGCAGGCCCAGTCGACACTCCACCCTTAGGCCTTCCATGGTCTTTGCCGGCGCTGGTCTGGAATACCCTACAGTCCAGGCGTCCTCAAACTTTTAAAACACGGTGCCAGTTCACTGTCCCTCAGACCGTTGGAGGGCCGGACTGCGGGCCCCGGGACGAGTCGGTTGCTAAGGACAGGCGGCGGCGGCAAAAACACCCGGCGGGCCGGATAAATGTCCTGGGCGGGCCGTAGTTTGAGGATGCCTGCACCCTGTACGGGGCAGGACAGGGATCGGCGCGGAGTAGCTCGCGCTGGGAGCATGCAACTCTGGCTTCAGTACGTCTCTCCATCTGTAAAAGGGCGAGACAACCACACCACCCCCACCAGGCTTGTGCTGACAATTAAAGCAGGAAGCAGCGCCAGGCCGGAGAGGCCTCGGCCAGCCGACAGGAGAGAGCGAGTTACCGGTCCAGAGGCTCCTGCCGCTCGGGGTCCTGGATTCCTAAAGAGCCCAGAATGGCATCTACCAGCGGCTGGTACTCGAAGATGATCCTCCGGAAGCCGTGAAGGAACGGCATCGTGGAGGCCCCCGGGCGCGGCAAAGTGGCCGCGCTTCCCGCCGAGGCCCACTAGCCGATTTGACGCGCTCCGCCGGCCCTGAGGCAGGTCCAGCTCTGCTGGTTCAGCCCCTGAGCCCAGCCCGGTCTGCCGCCCAAGCCGCAGCTCCGTGCCGGAAGTGCCTCTTGCATACTTCCGGTTCCCGTGAGCCTGGGGGGGAACGCGCGGTTGGTGAAAGCGCCCCCTGCGGGCTCGGAGGACCCCGGAGCGACCGGGACTGCTAATGGGGAAAGGACCCGGAGGTGGTGGAAGAGCTTTCTCCAAGGGATTCCAGGAGGCGGCCCCAACTGAGCCGGCGCGCAGACCCGCGCCAACCTGATCCGAGACCCGAGCGAGCCCTCCCCTTCCGGCCAAAGTCCGGCCCGGCCCAGCATCCCCCTGCGATGCCGCCCGCGGCCGCTGGGCGCCGTCCGAGCTCCGCCCATTGAGCGCTCCAGCCCGGTTGTGCACAGGCTGGGATCAAATCAGCCGTTCCTTCTACCTTGGCCTGGCTCTCTCCTTCCCCTGAGAAGGGGCTGGGCTACCTCTGTCACCACCTAGGCACGCTGACTAGAAAGACGAGGTCCACAGCCTCTGAACGTCACCTCCCCGCGGACGATGGGGACAATTCCTATTTTTCTGTTCCTGGGAGCGTCCGGTCAGGCAGGCTGCCAGCTCTTTTTATTGTCTGCCTTGATGGACTCAATGAACTTTACTTTGATTGATTGATTGATAGATGCGGCGTCTTTTTTTTTTTTTTTTTTTTTTTTAGACAGGAGCCTCAAGCTATCCCCTTGGGTAGAGTGCTATGGCATCTCAGCTCACTGCAACCTCCAACTCCTGGGCTCAAGCGAGTCTCCTGTTTCAGCCTCCCAAGTAGCTGGGACCACAGGCGCCTGCCACAACACCTGGCTATTTTTTCATTGCAGCCGTCATTGTTTGGCTGGCCCGGGGCTGGATTCGAACCCGCCACCTTGGGTGTACGTGGCTGGCACCTTAGCCACTTGAGCCACAGGCGCCGAGCCGATAGATGCAGAGTCTTACTCTGTCGCTCAACATGGAGTGCAATGGCCCAGTCATAGCTCACTGCAGCCTTGAACTCTCGGACTTAAGTGATCCTCCTGCTTTAGCCTCTGGAGCAGCTGGGTCTGCTGGCACGTGCCACCATGCCAGGGTGACTTTTAAAATTTTTGTAGACTCTGGTCTTTCTGTGTTGTCAAGCTGGTCTCAAACTCTTGGCAGCAGCATCGTCCTAGTAGTCCCAGCTACTCAGGACACTGAGGCAGTAGGATCCCTTGAGCTAAGGAAGTTGAGGCTGCAGTGAGTTATGACCAGGCTACTGCATTCCAGACTGAGTAACAGAAAAAGACCTTCTCTCTAGGCTCTGCGCCTGTAGCATAGTGGTTAGGGGGCTAGCCACATACACCAAGGCTGGTGGGTTCAAACCTAGCCCAGGCCAGCTAAACAACAATAATAACAACTACAACAGAAAAGTGTCCAGGCATTGTGGTGGGCACTGGTAGTCCTAGCTACTTGGGAGGTTGAGGCAAGAGAATCACTTGAGCACAAGAATTTGAGGTTGTGAGCTGTGATGCTGTAGCACTCTACTGAGGGCACCATAGTGAGGCTCTGTCTCAAAAAAAAAAAAAAAGTCCTCTCTAAAAAGAAAATAAATAAAAGCACATTTCAAGCAACCTTAAAAAAAAGGCAAAGTTATAATTTTCTTATAACTAAACATTCTTAAAATGGGCAGAGTAGAGACCCTCCACCATGAACAACAGAGCTGTAACAAGTAGAACCAATCCAAAGCGTGTCCAGCTCCAGCCATGGGGATCTAGCAGAGTGGGAGATGCAGGCAGGGCTGGATAACTTGCCTGCTATTATTATTAAGTTAAAACTGTAGTGCAGACCAAGTGACAAGCTATCAAAATCCCTGTCAGTACTCCAAATGCTTTATTTTGCTCCTCCTCCATTGCCTAAAGCAGCAGAAAAGAGGAGGTCGGGAAGGCAGCTGTTTTTAACCATTTAGAGCATTGCCAGCTTGGGCTTCCCAGAAGCAGCTTGGGACACTGGGTCTGAGGCTCCCAACACATTTCTGCCTTGGTTCTACCAGGAAAAAAGTATCTTCCCCTTAAGTGAAATCAGGAAATGTTGCTCATGCAGAAATGGAGATCTGTGGTTTGTCTTGTAAAATCTGAAGGGTCTGAGTTCCCACCTGGCAACAATGAGCACCTGGATGGGGCACTCGCTCCAGGTGCCTCAAACTCTCCCCAGTGTTGCACTGGGGGGTTGAGGATCTATATCTCTCAGTCTCTTAAGTAATGTCAAGTCCCAGAAGAGTGCAGCTGTCCTCAGGTGACCCAAGGGCTTCACTACCCTTCTCTCATTTCATCTAGGGCTTCTGGCTCCATCACACAGGTGAGGAGACAAAGGTCTGACTTGCCCGAGAACACACAGTCACTGGGCCAGGGCACATCAAGCACAGGGTCCAGGCAGAGTCATGTGGACCACCTGATATGAACCCCACTTCTGCCCTGGCTTCCTTAGTGTCAGAGCAGCACTGTTGCAAAGTACCACACACATGATGGCTTAAAACAACAGACATTTATTCTTTCACAGTTCTAGAGGCTAAAAAGTCAAACTCCAGCTGTTAGCAGAGCCACAGTCCCTCAAGACCCTAGAAAAGATCCCCTAGAAAAAGTTCTGGGGACTCCAGGTGTACCTGAGCTTGGGCCAGCATCGCTCCAGTCTCTACCTACCTGCCTTCACATAGCCTCCTTACCCATGTCTGTGCCCCTGTCCAAATCGCCCTCTTCTTTCTAAAAGACACCATTCATTGGGTTTAGGGCCCAACCTAATTTAGTATGATCATGTTCTAACTTGATTACATCTGCAAAAACCTTTTTTTTCCAAATCAGTTCACATTCCAGGTTCCAGAACTAGGACTTGAATATATCTTTTGGATGACATAATTAAACCCACTGTAATGGGTGACCCCAGGTGTGGCCCTTTTGGTCACTGGGCCTCAGTTTCCTCATCTATAACCTGAGGACCCTTCCAGCTGTGACAGTCTTTTTTTTTTTTTTTTTTT